CCCGCAGTAGAAGCATGGAATTTGGAGCTCTTTGAGGCTAGCAACAAGGTTGCTCCTTGATGACCTCTCCTGCTCTTAGGATGAAACCCAACACCTTGGTTTATCATGCAGCAGGGTGATCTGAAAAGGGCTGGGAGACATCTAGAACAGAGTGCTGGCAGAGAACTCATACTGAATCTGACAGATCATGTTATAGAGCTCACGATAAGACCTATGAAGCGGCGGTGACGGTGGTTAAGAAACATAATCTCTCTGCTACTAATGCATCAGCTAGTCCCAGTGAGAAAGTTGTCAACAGAAGGGGGGCAGATTGAGATGGGTAGCCATGTTAGTCTGTCTGTAGCAGTAAAAATGAGCAAGAGTCCAGTAGCACTTTAAAGACTAACATAAATTGTGGCAGGGTATGAGCTTTCGTGAGTCACTGCTCACTTCTTAAGGGGGACAAACCAGTGTAGCACTTCTATTTTGTTGGGATTAAGCTTCAGTTTATTAGCCTGCATACATTCCAAGTTATGCAATAGTTTGGGGATGAATCATAATCGGCAGCATAGTGGCACAATTGTGCAGCATATTAATTGTCATAGAATCAACCCCCAAGGCATACCAACATGTTTAAGCAATGTATGCTACAGTGTGGACTTTATCCTTTTAAAACATTCCCAGTATTTGTCCTCTTTGAAGTGTTGGTAACTATGGAAATGACTGTGTCATATGTCTAGATAGAATACTTAGTTGACCAATTTAAGAATAAAAACTCTGCTTGTGGAACTGTTTGACAAAGAAACTGAAAATCACAGGCCGTAAAAGGCATTTTTCATAAAATGTGAACATCTCATGTTGGAAAGCAGATCTGGAGTTAGCTCTGCAGTTTCTAACACTTTCTCAAGTACTCTTTCAGAATAAATAACAAACAAATGCTTTCCTTGTTACAGACAATTATATTCCTTCATCATGGAAAAATGAGGTAAATTTCAAGAGGATGCAGTTTGGTTGACCTACAGGAAAGCTTTGAAATCAATGCAACCATGCTTACCCACAGGGTTGACCAAATAAATTGAAACTCCTGTTGACATCCAGTGTGGTATTCAGTTGTCGGTCCAGGATCTGAGGCCCTATTATCCCATGAGCAGGTTCTCAGATCAGCTCTGAAGTACACAGCTGGGATCCCTTCACCAATCCCCTAGAGGACCTATGCATCCTTTATATTTCTTAATTTGGCCTCTACTAAAGTTTGGAATAGGAGATTGGAATGTATTTCTCTAATCTGGGAAATGGAAACACTGCACAGCAAATCATGCCTCTTCAAAGAGAGGATGTAATGCTCCATTAACCGTTCTTTGGAAAAGACAAATGCAAGAGAGCTCACCCCACCACCCATTCAAAGGTAATAACAATGTCTCAGCTAATTACATTCAGCATTCTACAAACACTAACAGGATATGTCCATCATTTAGGAAGGATACATCAACAAATCAGACTCCAATTTTGATGTGTTTATTTCCTTCACTATGTTTCCCCCCAGAATTCAATCCAAAGAAATGGGGACCACATAATCTAAGTTTATTGTTACATTTGGACCAAGAAGTGAATGATACCCCCGATTTCTCCTTCGTTCTCTTACTGATCTATCAATGAGGTTTGTAACCCACTTTCCCATCAAGTATTTTACAGGAGGATTTTTAAATGTTTTTCAGCTTATTTGACATTCTACCCTTGACATACCGAGCAAAACCTTGGCTCTTCTGGTCCTTTCTAGAAGGTTGTATCTGGAGATAAACGTAACTCATGGATATTTCCCACTCCATTAGGTCTCTGAAATGCCTGCTATATCTGTGCTTTTCTTCAGCATCCATATTACAGTTCAGAATATTCTAGCATTTTCAGGGAAACTCTTATGTCTTCTTGGTCTCTCTAGGCATATGTATTTTCAAAGGCTCCAATTTTTTGACATATGCTGATTGTTGTCTATCCCGTCTCCCATGTAGATGATCCAGAACATTTACCCCATTAACAATTAATTAATTAATGTATGACATTATGTGTAGAATAGCCAGGAGTTGACGAATGAGTGCAAAAAAAATCTGATTCTGGGAAATAAATTAGTCTTGCTGAATTAAAATGCATGCTTTTCACCAAGCATCATGCCCAGTATGGAATTTGAACCAAGAATGTAATATCAAAACCGAGTCAGGATCCATACAATTTCTGCTTATATTTCCTCACCCCCAATATGGCATTTCTAACAAGTAGCTCTCAAGTATGGTCTATATTTTACTTATCCAGCTAACCACCCTTCCTTTCTATTGCATACTCAAGGAGGTTGATTTTATTGCTCCAGAGACACCAGAATAGCAGTGGATGGTTTGGGAGGCAGAGTTGTAGCATAGATAGGGCTTGTGGAAGAAACAGCGCTATCAGTTCTCAGGGTCTTCAGTAGGATATTCTTCTTGAAACCACCGCCAACAGTACTAAGGGTCTGTATGTTGCTCTAATAATAAGATATGGTGTACTGTGAAAGAAACTACATTTCAGCTATATTCAGGTGATATTTTATTACCATATATTATGCTTTACAAATTTTATTGAAGGCCATTAAAAGCGCTATAAAATTATACCCTAACACAAGAAATTAATTGCATGATATAACACAGATGACAAAGTGGAACAGAAAGGGGGGGGAGTCAAGATAGCATATACAAATAATAGGTAGTAATACTGATTGAATCTAGATGCTGATCTGCTTGGAATGGGGGAAGTAGTTGTGTGGAGCAGGATAATAAACGTATCCATTTTGAGAAGAATACCTCGGTTTAGATAAACAGTGAACTACCAATACACCAGTTTATAGCATGTAAATGCAGCTAATTCAGAAAACAAGCTGATATTATGCATATAACAAAATTAAACTAGTTTACAGTAAGGCAGCACACCACTTTGTACTGCACCCTTGGCACTTAGTGACGGGATATTTGGTTTAGCAGAAGCGACATGATATATACACAAGTCTTGATTTGTTGAATTTCTTTTTGTATTTTTTTTCTGAAAAATGTACATCATCCCTTTGAACCTTTAAGTTTTACATTATTTCTATAACTGATTGTTAACATTGTTCTTGTAAAAAACAGACAAAAATATCGTACAGAAACTGTTTAAAAACAAGAGTACATTAAAAATTCAGGAAGAATCTAGTCCTAATCTATTACATTTAGTGACAGCCAAAGTCTTAAATACTTTGAGACTAATGGCTCAATCCTACACTTCTTTACAACTCTTACTAAAAATACTATTTAATTGAAAGGTATTTTCTTTAACGCTTTTTAAAGGAGTGATAGAATCCTAAATTCGAAATTCTATGAAGTGTTCTATCACCTTTTCAAGAAGTGCAAATTACAACCTAGAGGAAAGAAAATTTAACTGTGCCTTAACACAGATGGAGAAAAGAGCAGGAGGAAACCAAGTCTGAAATCTTAGTATCAGTAGCTCCCCAGCAACTTAATGAACTGGCCAACAAATAGTTTCCCCCACTACTATACAGCCATGTCCTTACAAATAGTCTTTGCTTTGTTTGTTTGGTTAAGTTTTTAAAACCTTGAGTAGTTAGTTGCTCTTTCATGAAAAATGTGATTGTACCCTGAAAGGCATGGTTTATTTTTCTCTTCTTTTTAAAGAATCTACACTGTCATTTACATATAAGTATGTAATAAACGTTTTATATAGTATAACACTTCAAAATTAATTGGTATAGATTATTTTACAAAGACATTTATAGTGCTTATTACATATGAACCATACAGCATGTAAGAGTATGTAATTATATGAACATATACACATTTCCATCCTCTCCTGTTTAAACTACTATGAAGCACCAAACATTGGTGTCTACAGTTCTAAAACTTCTCAGATAAAATTCCAAACACAATTTTCCATTTTTTTCAAAGTTTAAAATATCCTTTCATTACAAGGATTCTATTTCTAAATTTGAACTAAAATAAAATTTCAGATTCATCTTTTGAACAAAGACTGTTAAAGTGAATTCACATACATAGAAAGATAGCTTTTTCCTTCAGAGTGCAATTGTCAGGGATATTTAATACCAGCAGACCCTCTTCCCCATCTCAACAGATGAAAAGCAGCAGCCAATCAAAATATGACCCTTGGTGTAGAAATCTGTACAAAAGTAAACTTTAGTACTATTCACTATCAAGACAATGCTTTCTACCAGTTTTTTAAAATTAAACTGTCAATACCCATTTTAATGGAAGTATTTGCATAGAGAGGCCTTGCAGTTTTAAAAAAGACCATTTAATAAGTACTGTAACACAAGATAAGGCACATGTTTTGTTCATAATTTGAGATTCAGAGCTAATCCTGAGGAAATTTTCTCCTACAAGATATTGGTTTTTACCCTGTTGAACCTGAAAAATACAGAAAAACAAAACAAACTTTCAGTCTTTAACCATGTAAAAACTCACCATATAGAGAATTGTCTGAAATTCAAAAGAAGTGAATACTGACTCAGAATGAATACATTGCTTTTAAAAACCAAATCAAAGTTGCTACTGAACTGTCACAAAGTATGAATAAGTTTAGAGTGATCCTCCCCGCACGTGCTCCTTTCAGAAATAAGGTAGCTAAGTTGTGAGGCACTTAAGGCTAACCATAAATGAGGAATGGATTTGGTTGTACAAAACCAAAAGTTGCATATCAAATTCTTTGTACTGAACTTCCTACTAAAGTGCTAGAACCTGAAATGTAATGTGAAAAGAGAAGCTGAAAAATAGTAAATGAAGTCAACAAACTAAAGGAAAGATACAGGATGCAATAAAATCCAGCGTTTTACCTCATTCTTCTGTTTGGAACACTGGCCTTTATTTCAAAAGCCTTTAAAAATCCAAGAAAACTCTTTTCTTATACAACTCCAAATGAGATTGTCAAAGTGCCTGTTTTTTCCTTCAAAACAATAAAACCATTTGCCTTATCTTATGTTCTACAATGTGATGCAGTACACAATATTGCACTAGTGCATATTTTCAGTTTCTGAAGATTACCATGCACACTTTAGGCCTAGATTGCAACTCCAACTTCCACCCTTCTTAATATTATGTTCTGGATGACAAAAATCTTATATGTATGCATGCATATATATATGCAAACAAACTCCAATCTGGGTTTTTAAGAATCCACTCATGAGCTAATTCTCTGCAGGAATTTGCTCTTGAATTACATAAAACCACTGGATGCCAAATCCGAGAAAGATCTGGATTCTGTTGGATGATGAACAGGCTGAAGTTGTGTGACAGGTTGGTTGCTGACGACATCCAACTGTGGTGGATATGTATCACTCAGGCTTCCTCCATTAAAACTGTCCTGGAACTGAAAAAGAGGCAAGACTTTATTATAGAGAAATGGCTTCCTATTTAATACTAAATATTCACAACTAAGCAAAGTAAATGATTTATCATGAAGCTCATTTCACTACTGAACCAGGTATTACAAAGTTCCTGCAAATATGTTACAAAGAATCGTAGTTCCTTTCATTTCATGGAATGCTTTCCCCTGACTGCTGGAGGCAGATTTTTAGGAAACATAAAAGACTGATGCAGGGAGAGGGAGCTGAAAAAATTCTATTTGCACATTGTAGACTGTGAATGGTCCTTTGGATCCCAGCCCCTATAAAGCATGGATTCTAGAGGTGTAACTCAGCAACCTATCCACAACTTGTGTGTTTTCTTTATAGAGCAGTGCTTTCCAAAATAGTGTCCGGTAATCACTGAAGGTTTTCCGAGAGGGTCTGAAAGTCCTCAGAGGTTGAGCCCCATGGAGTCAATGTTAAAATGAAGCCCTCTCAGTTTTCTAGGAATGAAGACAGGGAAGGAGTAGGGTTCCCCTTCTTTCAAAGAAGCTATTTCAGCTGTTGCAACATGCAGTCACCTAGCTTCCCGCACTTCCACAAAGCACTACAGAGAAAATACATTGATTGGCTGCTGGAATTAACAGCTCACAACTAGAACTCTAATTGGCTGAGTAACACCAAAGTTACTTCAGGAATAAAATCCAGCTGGTTTTTCATTCTATTTTTACAATATAAAGGGCTTCATCATAGAGATGCAGAGACGCCACTCTGTATCTACAGACAATTAAAGTCAATGGTGTTTTAGCTGAATACTAGAAGTCTGAGTTTCATACAAGTATGGTATTCTTCTGTTTCTATGATCAAGTCCAAAAGTTTTTCCAGGCCCATTCCCAACCCTGTTCAACCAGCCTCTGGCTAGAAGTTATTGACTGTTAGCAGTTGGCTGCAAACAAGTCTAACTCCCCTCCTGACTCCCCAAATTAGTGTAAGGTTCACTAGATTGCGGCATTATACCATACTGGCTCACTGATATTTAAAAATGCAGCTTTACAATGAAATACTAATGGTACACTTGCATACTTCTTCAAGGTTTTTACTTTCAAGTTTACTTTAATCCAGTCAAAACATAAGAATAGTTGTGTTAGTGTTCTGCAGAAAAGGCAAGTGTCTTTATAGCTACTAAACCATCTGGATTCTTACATAAACACTTGCTCTACACTGAAAGCATCATATTCTCTTTTGAAGAATTTGTATAATTCTTCAATGAACATATGTTCTGTTAATGCTATGAGCACGTATGGTACTAAGTCAGACTTGACGAGAATCATGAATTCATAAGCGATACTACATTATGTAGTTAAAGAACCCTGAAAGGATTTCTTTAGTCACGACAGTATGTATTTCTCAAATGCATTTTGTCTACAGTATTAAGTGAGTGATCCATGTATTCTGTCATCCTTTGTCATGATATACACAAAATTAATATTGATGAGAAAAACATGCTGATGTTTACATATGATAAGCACTGCATACAGAGACATTGATATAAGGTCATGGAAAAGCATTTAATTTGACAATTTACAGCTCCAACTTTGCAGCACAAAGAAAAGAAACCTACTTTTAACAGTATGTAGCCAGAAACACAGTTTATTTTCCCCAAACTTCACCACAGCCTCCTCTCTTCCTTCCTCCATTTCTCTTTAGTTAGCATAGGTGTGGAAGCCTTTCCATTCAAAAAGAGCCATTTGTTACCATAAGCCTAGCAAATTTTGAGAATGGCATTTCTATTAAACAAATTTTGAAATTTGCCTGCAGATGTAAAAAGTAGTTTATCCATCATGGAGGAGGAAAAAAGTAGCTAGGCTTCTTAATCAGCACTGTCAAAATGCTGAGATTTTATTCTCCTAGTTATAGAGAAAGAATGATGGAGAAACCTGACACTTCATTGAAATACCTCCTAGCAAGTTCTTAGTCTGAACTTGCACGTTCTCCCCTTGTAAAGGGAAGTGGGTGGCGGCGGGGAGACTGCATAGGAGATAGAACTTCTGTCCAATGGAAGGAGAAAGATCAAGCTTTCACAAATTATGAAAACAAAGGGAGCCTTCTTGTTCATGAAAAATATTTTAGGACTATTTGTTATTTCTGACAATACACATCTCACAGCCCAAGCCTGTGGGTGCACAACAAATTAAAACCTAAATAGATGGTGTGATAAAAGGCAACCTCATCACCCACAAATAAATACTAAACAATTCTAAACAATTTCAACAATTATAGGCACCAAAGTTTCACCTGCTGGTTGTAAATGGGAATGCTTTGAAGGGAGGTGGTACAAATTTCAGGCAAACAAAAATCCTTTTGAGCACCTCCTTTCCTTTACCTAGAGCTCTGGCACAATTTTTAAAAAGAAAACTGGCTGCTTCCTATGGTAAATCCAGATTATTAAAATACAAATGGGGATATATGTTTTGCAAAACACCCTCCCCCAGCTTAATCTTACTATGGGGGGGAGATAAGAATATGGAGGGAGAAGTGCCCCATGTTTTAGAATAGCAAGTACAAAGGCAGGAGAAGCTAAAAGTGATGTTTTCTATGGATTCCTGTTCCAAAAAATGCTTCAGACTGACAGCAGCCCTCTGCACATGTGTTCCAAGTACAGGCTTTCATTTGTCTCATAAATTCAGATTTCTGATAAGATGCACATGCTCATCCCACTTTCTTTTTTAGGTTTCAACTATCAAGGCTTGAACCAATCTGAAAAGCAGATACAGCACACCAACTTGTATAGCAAAAACTTGCTACTCTGATCATCTTAGATGAAAGGCAAAATAGAAGTGTAATTAACAAAGAGCAACAAATTGAGTTCCTCTTTTATTTTTAAAAATGGGAAACCCAGAGAATTTATCAAAGCAATTTTGCTTAAAGCATATATTTAAGGATGATAGGACAAACTACTTGGAAGCACTTATCATAAAAGACCTCTGTGGATAAGAGCTCAATCCTGTTGAAACAGATAACTACATGAGATGAAAAGTGCACTGTTATGGTAACTAATGTTTTCTAAGAAATATTGTGAAAGATTATGCTGTCCAGTTAAGTTTTTAATGAAGTTGCAGCGATGCCCCAGAGCCCCTCACCCCATGGGGACTCCCATTTTTGTTACCAAATACTGTCATGTACATACCAAATACAGGTATGTAAAATACTGGGTGCTGAAGCTGTGGAAGACATAAACAAACAAACAAAAGCCAACCATTTTAGTAAACAAAGGATCAACTAAATACTGAGAAAGGATAAAAAGAACCAAGAGGAAGGATCAACAACCACCCACCAGCAGAGCAGGGAAAACAATACATCAGCCTCACATGGACCACCCTAATTTCTGTGCATTTGTAAAAACAGCCAAGACCATAATCCCAAGCAAAAGGAAATGTTGGGATTCTGCCACTGGCAGGTCTCACCCCCAACAGCAAAGGGACTCTGAAGGAAAGGTAGCGAGGTCTACAAATAAGGCAGCCAAGCAAAAGTACCTCCTTACTCAGTTACTCAAAATAGCACCTTTTTTCTGTCCTGGGGAACGCTGAACTGAATAGTCTATTTAATGTGAAAACAGGTGACCTCCCCTCAGAGGAGAGGTGGGGAAGATCTTGGGTCTGAGCCCACAAAGTGACAGAGATGTGAAAAGAACTGTAGGAAATCTGTGAGTGGTAGACAAGGCAGAATGTTTACTTTCTCTTGAACAGTAAATCACTAGAGAATAGCTGAATGAATTTAAGGGATTTTTGACATCCATTTACCAAAGATTTTTTCAGTAGGAGATGCTAAGGATGGAACCTACCATCTTTAATATGGTGGGAAATTGTGCACAGCACTGAGGCACTATGTTACTTGAAGGAGGGGAAGAAGAGGTGACTCTTAAGGATCTGACAGCAAGCCTGTAATTCCCCACAGAGTGTTGTCCAACTAGACTGAAGAATTCATAGCCTGTGGATCCACAGTAACAACCCATTCTTTTTTCTTTTCAACACTAATTCCTAGCACGGACTAGGGCAGTCTAAAAAGACTGATTCAGATTAAAGAAACAAACTCGTTACATACACCACAGGCATAAACTGTGACTTAGATTGACAAAAGCTCATCTTAGAATAAATGACAGTGTCACTACACTATTCTATTATACACAAACTGTCACTGGAGATGTTGAATGGCCTCAATTTATAACACTTTGGCTAATACATGCTCCAGGATAGGGTTAAATTGGTGTGTCAAGCTCCCTTCACGGGGATAATAAAAGGGCCCCATTGACCTGTTGATTAGCAACTTAAAGGGAAAATGCAGGCAGACAAATTCCACTTCCCACCCAGGCTAATAGTTCACAGCACTCACATTGTGCAGTGGCTGAATCAGAGATGAAGTGCTATTTAACCTGCAGGCCATTAACAACAACAGAGATGACCACTAGAATCAAGCATATATTTGCTAAAGGACTGTAGCAGAGGCTATAACGGCAGCCAATTTAATGAGAGCTTGCATGTCAAAGACTTCATTTCATGGGGCAACTGTTTTGAGTAGAAAGGGAAGACATCATTTAAATAAATGGGTATGGAGTTTATATGTACCCCATCTTACTCCCCAACAGGACTCAAAGTGGCTTATAACATCTTACACTTTTCATAAGAACACAAGAACATAAGAGAAGCCATGTTGAATCAGGCCAGTGATCCATCCAGTCCAACACTCTGCCACACAGAGGCCAAAACCCAGGTGTCATTAGGAGGTCCGTTCCATCCTCACTAGAATCCTGTGAGGCAGATTCAGTTGGGAGAATGTGAGAGACCCAAAGTCACAAACAATTTTTTCCAGGCATAATGACATTTGAAACTGGCCCAATACTCTAACCACTATATTGCATGGGCTCTCACTACAAATGGTGTCATACAAGATTGACTCCAGAGACAGTCTGAACCCTGCTGAAATAAGAACTCAGTCCCAGAAGAAGCAGTGAAATTTAGAGCCCTGA